ACAGGCTAGAACCACTACATTCAGATTTTATTATTATTGTTCTTGCAGTTCTGAGGTTTGAGCTCATCTAGGCAAGAGCTTGCTAGGCAAGTGCTATACCACTTAAATCATGCATCTAGTTCTCCTATAAATGCCTTAAAAGACTCATCACCAAGGATTGTTTATTAACCCTTAAACTGACATTTGAATTAGCCCATAAAGTTTTATGGGCTCTGCAACATTAGGTGAGACAGAAGAATAACTAATTTAAGTGGTTAATTGGAGTACTACACTGGACTGTTGTGTGACTGTGTATACTCTATTATCCAGGGACTTCTTATTCCTAGGAGTTACTAAAGGCAGGAAAAAAACCCGAATACAGAATCAGGTACATGAAATGTCAGATTACATGAACCACATTCATGTCTAAAAGGAAACCTCTTCAAATACTTCTTCCTTTCCTTTGCACTAAAACTCTAATTTTTTAATAAAAAAAGAAACTTCCCTTTTTCTCCTCTGACTCAGAAAACTAACTAGTAATATTGTAAAGTAGGAAAACTACTTACATCTCAGCTTCCCTGAAGAGTTTATATTTGGCATACTAAGGATATTTCCAACACCATTCCTTGAATTCCTCTAAAGACCTCTCCCACTTACAGCGGCACTTGCCCAAGTCTTCAATAAGGCCTTTTCTTCACAAGCTTCAATATTCTACACTACTTAGAAATTGTGATGGGAAAAAATATGTATAAAAATAGGTGTTTAAAAAATTAGGTTTTCTACTCCATTTTCGATATTTATTTGAAATTCATCTTGAATTATAAAAATACTCTGAGATTATGCTATGAATCTTCCTTTAACTTTCATGAATATATTTCTTATTAACCTATAGTTATATTTAGGTTGACTGCTTGTGCACTTAATCAGTATGTCCAAATCAGAAAGATACAAGAGAGCCTGGGGACATAGCTCAGTGGTAGTATACTTGATCAGCACACACCAGTTCCTGGGTTCAGTCCTTAGCACCACAAAAGAAAAAAGAAGGAAAGACACGAGGAACTAATAACATGTCACTTCTATGTACTAGGTACTGTAAGCTACATCACAAAAAAAATCAGAAAAATCTAAGGTTTAATGGCAGTTCTGCTATTTGTTAAATAGCTAATGTTGTACACAGTAATCAATTACTCTCAACTTTAATACTACAATATATAGATTAGGGATAATGCTAATTAGGTCATACACTTACTACAGAATTTAAACCAACTAAGGGCATAGCAAATGCTTAGGAACTACAGCTGACACCTGGAATTAGCTCCCTTTAGCCAATACTAATAAAAGATAAAATAACCTCCCCCACCCAAATAAAAATAAAACTCCTAAGTACCAGAACTGTTGCAGAAAAGAGAAGTTGGCCACAATTCCTGGCACAGAGCTAAAGAATCAAATTAGTATTTGTTCAAGAATCTTCAGCATTGGAGTTGTATACATGTGGGAGGAAGAAATACAGAACTATTAGGAGAAGCCCTGGATCAGACTGGTCCTAACACAAAGCCAAAGGTTGTGGAATAGGATCAGACTAGTTTTGGGAATGCAGCATTTGACTCAAGTTGGCACTTAGAAATTATGCAATAGTTTGCTTTGAAAATATATAATGTTATAGAAATTATTATTACTACATACATACATACAACTAACCAACATAGATACTTGCCCATAGGCAGTAAGGGATTTTTATGTTGCATGGCTGAAAAGAAGACAATAGATGAGTGGACATATGTATTGGAGAATGCAAAGAAAGTGGTAATACAATTCAGTTTTGGTTTTTTTTATTCTTTTTTTGGGTCCAGTCGTGGGGCTTGAACTCTGGGCCTAGGCGCTGTCCCTCAGCTCAAGGCTAACACTCTACCACTTGAGCCACAGCGCTACTTTCGGCTTTTTTCTTTTTGCTTATGTGGTGCTGAGGAATCGACCCAGGGCCTCAGGCATGCAAGGCAAGCGCTCTACCACTGAGCCACCTTCCCAGCCCCTACAATTCAGTTTGAGAGGCTATATGAGGTTACAGCTAATGGGTTAGGCTTTAAATACAAAATGCCTGGATTTATTTATTTAGTTAGTTATTATTATTTGTTGTTGTTGTCAGTACTGAGACTTGAACTCAGGGACTGGGTATTGTCCCTGAGCTTTTGTGCTCAAGGGTAGCACTCTACCATTTAGAGCCACAGCTCCACTTCTGATTTTTGAGTTGTTAAATGGAGACAAGTCTCACGGACTTTACTGCCCTGGCTGACTTTGAAAAGGAATCCTCAGATCTCACCCTTCTGAGTAGCTAGGATTACAGGCATGAGCCACTAGTGGCCAACTCAGAATGCCTGGGCTTAAACCTTGGCTTCATTCCTTACACTTGATGTGAACTCAGGCAAGTTAAATAATTTTTCTTTGCTAATTTTCCTTGTAAATACTGATCTGACTGCTGGGAAAATTTTAAATGTATATGCATAAAGCACTTAGACAATATCCTGGAACTCAGTAAACCTCAGTTTCCTAATCTATAAAAATAAGGACAATAAAATTTACAACTTCATGAATGGTTAGATGGTTGAAATAAGTTTTACCTATAAAGTACTAAATATATAATAAATCAATAAGCAGTACGTATTTTTACTAAGAGAGTAGATAACAAAAATTTTCAAATTTGAAAAATCAGTTCCTAAGAAAATAAAACAGAAAAGATTGTGAAAACTCTTACTCCCATTTTAGTGTTGAATATATTTACTAGGAAACCATGAGTAACTTGGCATACTTAGCCATTTTTCCAACACGTAAAACACATCTGAATTATTCCATCGCTTAGATCTGTTCAAGTAGTTAAGTCATAGTTACAAAATATAGACCAAAAAATGAAAAATAGAAAGAAACCACAACAGTAATTTTGAAATCTCCCTTTTAACACTCAGTGACAAATAATATGATAAATCCAATGTCATACTGATGATTAGGCCACTTGTAATTTTACTTATAGAGAAAATAGCAATGGATACTCATAAGGAAATTTGCTACAATATGAGAACACAAAAAGTTGTTGCCATAAAATTGACATTTTAAAGGTCAAATAATTTGCAGGCCAAATAAACAGGACTTCCAACTAATCCATAAGGAAACCAAGAGAGTAAATGAGTTAAGAACACAAAGAAAGAGGCTGTAGTCAACAGTGACAAATGTGAACACCACTGAGACAATTAAGTAAGCAAATAAATAAATAAACCCCAGAAGAAAGGAGCAAAAGACATTAAACTCTGAGTTAAAGAAAGTTCACTTACTTGTAGACGATAAAACTAGAATTCTTTCTCAACCTGTAATATTTATTCTAAGGCCAATAAATAGACCACACTTCTATCAGAAATTTATTCTCAAAGTCTATTACTGGGTCATCTTTGAATCAAAGTGAATAGGATAACTTTAGTCTTAGTCTTAAAGCAAAAATAAAATTAAGATGATATATATATACGTGTATATATATATTTACACACACATATATATATATATATATATATATATATATGTGTACACACACACACACAGGGTAGGGGGGCTTAAGTAAAATGATGTTCCACTGGATTTTATTAGAGTCCTTTATAGAAATTCTTGGCTAACAATGAGAGGAAGATGTATTTTTGGAGATGTATTACATATACCAGTCTCCATCCTAAAAGAATGTTGTGGAAAATATCTGCAAATTCTTCCAATCAGTTTTGAATGAATATAATTATCACTCATCCACCTATATAAATAGCACTGCCTAGAAACATGTAAACCACACATTTAACTTTAAAATTTCAAAAACATGCATTTAAAAAGTGAAAAAGAAAATAATTTAATATTATTTAACCCAACATTCAAAATATTATCAATAAAATATAAAAAATTATTTCTGAGACATTTTACCTTTTTCTATAGTGAATATTTAAAACCCAATACATAGTTTACATTCACAGCATATCTCAGTTTGAATGAAACTCATTTGAAGTGTTCAACAGCCACATGTGGCCAATGGCTACTATATCAGAAAGCATAGGTCTAGAATCCAAGCTCCCTAGAACCAGAAACATGGACTATCTTGTTCAGAAATCTAACTGTGAGATTGTTGTAGTAATTCTCAACAAGTACTTATCAAATAAATGAATGAACAAATGTTTTACTTTCAAACATATTTGCAGGGCTGGGAAGGTGGCTCAGTGGTAGAGCACTTTGCCTTGCATGCCTGAGGCCCTGGGTTCGATTCCTCAGCACCACATAAGCAAAAAGAAAAAAGTGGGAAACGGCGCTGTGGCTCAAGTGGTAGAGCGCTAGCCTTGAGCTGAAGAGCTGAGGGACAGCGCCCAGGCCCAGAGTTCAGGCCCCACGACCGGACCCCCACCCCCAAAAAATCATAAAACGTATTTGCGAAAACAAAATTCCTGCCCTATAATACTCTAACTATATTATTAGAATTATTAAGAGAAGCACACCATTATATTGAACTCAATTCTCATCCAGATGATGGTTTAGTTATAAACAGTTAATTGATATAAATTCCTAGGCAGGGGCATGCTTTTAAATACAAAATAAGCACATTTTACTACCAAAAGGGAATTTTCCTCTATAATCACTTTAAATGATATTCTTAAATATTTAGAATGTTAAACTGTTATTTAATTCCTGTAATAAAATCAGATACATTATAGCTTTTCTATCTGGAATAAATGAGCTCCAAATTCAATCACACATAACATTCATATATTTCTAGCATTTGCAAATAAAATAATGGTGTTCCCTCTCCAATGCCCAATCCACCCTAATAGTAGCAAAAGAATATACCAAGTACAGTTTCAAATGCTTGGTAAAATATTATTATATTCATTATCTTAAAATGCTTATTTTCCCCAAATAGGGATGTTAGGTTAGGTATATATATATACTTATTCATATATATATATATGAAATTGACCACTTAATAGCAAAGTTTAGGGAGAAAAGCTTACTTTTTCTGCTAAGAGTCCTCGTATCTTGCTTGCTTGAACTCTAAATTTCATGAGCTGAGACTCCAGAGCCATACATCTTTCTTTCCAATTTACTGGTCTTTCTGGCTCAGAAAGCTCTGCCATATTTATTCTAAAAAAAAAAAAAAAAAAAAAAAGCAAGCATTCAAACAACACAGCACATTACCATTGAAGATAATTCATCAAATAACCCAATGCACACAACTGCAGTCACTGTTTCATGCTATCCAGGTATTAGTTTTAAGTTGTAAGATAAAATCCAGAACTTATCATATCTTATGCAAAGAACTTAGTGAGAGGGCTGGGAAGGTGGCTCAGTGGTAGAGTGCTTGCCTTGCATGCATGAGGCCCTGGGTTCGATTCCTCAGCACCACATAAGCAAAAACAAAACAAAAACAAAAAACAAAAAAGCCAGAACTTAGTGAGAGATAAGAGACCAGAGATGGAATGGAAGACCAGCTGCACTACTTAACCTTTCTAAGTCTGTTTCCCAATCTAGAAGAGAGAGATCCTGACAACCATGAGCCATTCTTCCTCTGGGGTGTTGTGGTCAGCAACTGAAATACTGCTGTTTCTAAAATAACTTGGCACAGTGTGATAACACAGCACAGCACAGTCTTACATTTACTTCTGCCCAACAAATGAGACTTTTAACTTTTAATCATTTTACCACACACATAAACTTTATAGAAGTATCACAATTTGATTCAATTGGTAGTATGATAAAATAATCTAATGAAACATCACATCATGGCATGATTATGATTTCCACTTGTTCTATAATTATTACTTAGTACCACTCTAAATTTCCAGTCCAGACTAAGTCTCTCAAGACAGAAGACCTTTGATATATTTAACTAGGTAAGTTATTACTCTTAAGACAAGTTTGTATAATTTTTATTTGGCATAAGAAGAGAAAACATATAATTATGACATTTGGAGCCATTTATATTGAGGAAATATGAACTCAATAGTTTCCATGATAGGAACTTTCCTTTTGGAGATTAATCCAGGGAGAAGCACTGAAGGGAAGAGGCCAGGGAATTGGTTTTGAAATTCTCAAGTGTTAACTTGATTTTGGAAGCCTGATTGTTTCTGGCTCTGGGATTCATGAAAGCAGTTTTAAGTATGTATTAATGTTTTACTAGACAATTTTTATAACTAGCCTAGATATGTATTTCTACATTACTATGAAGTGAAAATTTGTGCATTAGAATGGATGTCCTGCAGGAGACAAGACCCAGTCACGAACACATCATAGGGAAACATTCCGAACCCAATGGTATTAGAGTTGAAGTGTTCAGTTGAAGGGTGTTTGTTCTATTCTTTGGTTCTACAAAAATATAGCAAAGTTTACTTCCATAGCATTAGGGTAATAAATCTCCCTCCCTAAACCAATACCCATTTTTTAAAACTGTATGCTGTTAAAAACTAGATTCTTTTTTTGGGGGGGGGGGATCCGGTTGTGGGGCCTGAACTCTGTCTGGGCCTGGGCACTTTCTCTCAGCTCTACAGCTCAAGGCTAGCACTCTACCACTTGAGCCACAGCGCCACTTCCAGCTTTTTTTCTTTTTGCTTATGTGGTGCTGAGGAATCGAACCCAGAGCCTCATGCATGCAAGGCAAGCACTCTACAACTGAGCCACTTTCCCAGCCCAAAACTAGATTCTTTTCTTAGCATATTGTTTTGTGCTTTAAGTCATTTTCACATTAAGACTGACATAATCACCAACAATTTTTTTTTTCTGGTCGTAGAGCCTGAACTCTGGGCCTAGGTGCTGTTCTTCAACAATTCACCACCAGGCTAGTGCTCTACCACTTGAGCCACAGCACCACTTCCGGCTTTTTCTGCTTATGTGGTGCTGAGGAATCGAACCCTTCTCAGCCCTATTACTCAATAATTTAGAAAGAAATAAATTGGTATAAGCAGAACTGTTTTCAAAAGCTGTAACTTTTATTAAAATCACCTTCGGCATCTCAAAGCTTCCACATGCCTTTGAATCACAGTCATAGTCTATGGAAAACTTGTTGTAGAGCTAAAAATGATTCTTTCTGTTTCTTTTAGAAACTCAACTCCAGGGGCTTTATTAAAATAAACTATTTAATAGTTCCACATAAAATTTAACATTTTTAATTTCTCATTAAAATTTATTATTGTTTTAGCGATTACTATTAGTGATTAGTGGCTAAATCCTCCTTCCTTCCTTCCTTCCTTCCTTGTGGTTCTGAAAAGATAATGCAATTTTTCACCCATGAACTTTTTCTCCATTCTACTGTTAACTTCATTAGCAAGAAAATTTAGAAGGGACAGAGAAAAACATAGATACAAACATTAAAAATAAAAAAGAGCTAGATCCAAAATACAACTGGAAATGATAACATACAGGAGTCTGAGCCTTCCTTCCTTCCTTCCTTCCTCCCTTCCTTCCTTCCTTCCTTCCTTCCTTCCCTCCTCCTGTTTTAGGTGGTACTGGCGTTTGAACTCAGGGATTTATGTTGTAGCTGGCACTCTACCACTTGTGCCATACCTTCAACTCAATTTTTTACTGGCTATTTTTGGAGATAAAAATCTCATAGACTTTTCTGCATGGGCTGGCTTTGATCCAAGATCCTCAGGATCTCAGCCTCCTGAGTTACTAGGATTATAGGCATCATTCAGCAGAAAGACTATTTCATGTTGTTTAATTTTTGTATTAAGTATAAAATTTATTTATGGTCTGATATAAAGTGTCTACAGCTGTTCTTTTATTTTGTTTTGTTTGTGGTGCTGGGATTGAACTCAGAGCCTTGTACATGCTAGAGCTAGTGCTCTACTACTGAGCTACATTCTGTGTTATTTAAAAATAGAAGGGCTGTGGCATGGCTTAGAGATATCATGCCAGGCTAATAAGTGTCGCAAGGCCTTGAATTCAAATCCTATTACTGCCAAAAAATAATTACTTAATTAACATAGACTACATAATTTTTAGTAAATATAAATAAATCAAGGTAATGTACCATATGAATAAAGGAAAAAATTACATGATCATTTCACTAACACAGAAAAAAACATACTATAAATCCCAAATCCCCACTCACCCTTTTTTTGGTGCCAGTGCTGAGAAATGAACTCAGGGCCTAGACATTGTCCCTAAGCTTTGTGCTCTACCATTTGAGCCACAGCTGCACTTCTGGCTTTTTGGTACAAAATCCTTTTATAATAAACACAGTCACCATGCTAGCAATAGAAGGGAATTTCTTCATCCTTATAAAGAATATCTACAAAAATCCACAACTAATACTAACTGGTAAGTAACTGAAAGCTTTTGTGCTAAAATCAGGAAAAGACAAGGATATCTCACTACTTCTATTCAACACTGTAAAAGAGATTCACACTCAGAGGCTGGGAAGTTGGCTCAGTGGTAGAGCGCTTACCTTGCATGCCTGAGGCCCTGGGTTCCATTCCTCAGCACCACATAAGCAAAAAGAAAAAAGCCTGAAAGTGGCGCTGTGGCTCAAGTGGTAGAGTGCTAGCCTTGAGCTGAAGAGCTGAGGGACAGCGCTCAGGCCCAGAGTTCAGGCCCCAAATGAAGTAAATCTAGCTCTATTTGAAGACAACATAATCATATACATAGAGAGTTACAGGGAAAGCTATTAGAACTATTGAGATAAGCAAGACTTTAGAAAACCAAATCAATACACAAAAATCATTGTTCTTCTCTACCCTAGCAAGCAAAATCCAAAAATCAAAATATTACATTTACAATGGCATCAAAATGAATAAAATAAGAATAAACTTAAACAAGTGTAAACTTATACCCTAGAAACTGCACAATATCATTGAAAGATATCAAAGACCTAAATAAATAGAAGAACCTACCTGTTCATTGGGCTGAAAGTGTAGCTCAAGTGGTAAGAGCGTTAGCCCTGTAAGCATGAGGTCCTGAGTTTAAACCCCAGTATTGCCAAAGAAAAAAAGGGAGGGGAAGGAATGAGGGAGTGAATGAATGAATTTCACATTCATGGGTTTGAAGAGGGAAGGCAGGAAAAAGAAGAAGAAATTTTATACTCTTGGATTGATTGGAAGACTAAATTCGTAAAGATGGCACTACTTTCAAATGAATAAGCATAACCAATTCACTAACATTCCAACTGAATGTTTTGCAGAAATTAACAAGTTAATCTTAAAATTCAAGTGGAAATACCCAGAATATCCAGAATGATCTTGAAAAATTGAGGATTTAAATGTTCACATTTTTAAACTTAAGCTACTCAAGGTATACTACAAAGGTATACTACTCAAGATTGTACATAGGACAGGCTTATAGATCCATGGAATAAGGCCAAAAATAGTAGTAAAACCTCACCTTAAAACTTGTAGACAATTGTTTTAGCAAAGGTATAAAAACTACTACTCAATGGGGAAAGAATAGTATTCTCAATAAATAATGCTGAAGCAGCTGGATATCCATATGACAAAAGAATGAATTTGGCTGGGTACCGGTGGCTCACGCCTGTAATCGTAGCTACTCAAGAGGCTGAGATCTGAGGATCGAGGTTCAAAGCCAGCCCGGGCAGGAAAGTCCGTGAGACTCTTATCTCCAATAAACCACTAGAAAACCAGAAGTGGTGCTGTGGCTCAAGCAGTAGAGCGTGTGCCTTGAGCTGAAGAGCGCAGGGACAGTGCCCAAGCCCAGAGTTCAAGTCCCACAACCGACAAAAAAAAAAAAAAAAGAATGAATTTGCACTCCTACTTCATACCAAACACACTCCTACTTCATACCAAACGTATGAATTAAAACAAAATAGGTCAAAATAGGTCAAAAACCTAAACTAAAACTTTGAGAAAAAAAACAGGTGTAAATCTTTATGACCTAGAATTATGCAACATTTTCTTACATATGATCTAAAACACAGGTTAAAAAAAATTGTTGTTAGACCTCATCAAAACTTAAGAATTGTGAGCTTCTAAGGACAGTATCAAGAAAGTATAAATTTGTCTAGTACTTGTGGATCATGCCTGTAATCCTAGCTACTCAGGAGGCTGAGATCAGGGGATCATGGTTTAAAGCCAGCCCAGCAAGAAAGTCCTTGAGACTCTTATTAATACTCAGAAAAAGCAAGCAGTAGGCTGGGAATGTGGCTTAGTGATAGCATGCTTGCCTAGATGCGTGAAGCCCTGGGTTCAATTCCTCAGTACTACATACACAGAAAAGCTAGAAATGCTGCTGTGGTTCAAGTGGTAGAGTGCTACCCTTGCGCAAAAGAAGCTCAGGGACTGAGCCCAAGTTCAAGTCCCAGGATTGGCAAAAAAGAAAAGAAAAGAAAAAGTCAGAAGTTGTGCTGTGGCTCAAGTGGTAGAATGCTAGCCTTAATCAAAAAGTAGTTCAGGGATAATTCCCAGGCCTTGAGATCAAGCCCCAAAACTGACAAAAAAAAAAAAAAAGTATAAAAATAACCAATAAAATGGGAGAAAAATCTCTGTAAATCATATATCTTATAAAGAACTTGTGTCTAGAATATGTAAATAATTCATAAAACTGAACCAAGAAAAAGATGACCCAATAGACATAGATGATGCACCCAAATAGACATTTCTCCAATGAAAAGACTTAAATGGGCTGGGTTAAGTGGCTCAAGTTTATAATCCTAGTTGTTCAGGGGGCAGAGATGTAGAGATGTGGGGATCATGGCTTGAGGGAAGCTAGGGGAAAAATATTCAATATTCCAACTCCACTAATAAACAGCTGGGTGCAGTGGAGTCCCCTGTCATTCTAGCAATGTGGAAAGGCACAAATAGGAGGATCTTAGCTCAGGCCAGCCTAGCATAATGCCAGCCCTTATCACAAAACTAATGAAGACATAAAGGTTTGACAAAGTAGCTCCAAATGGGCTCATTGGGCTGAAAGTGTGAATCCCTGAATTCAAATCCCAGTGTTGCCAATATATATATATATATATATATATGAATGTATGTATGTATATATGAGCATGTAAAAGGAAAGTGAAAACTCTAACACTGTACTTCTCACCAAATAGGATAGATGTAACAAAAATGAAAGGGCGCACATACAAACAAGTGTTGGTGAGAATGTGGGGAAGCTAGAGCCCTTATTACATTGCTAGTGGTACTGAAAACAAATGTTAGAGCGGCTTTGTAGTTCTTCAAAAGTTTATACATAAAGTTACTCTAAGACCCAGCAATTCCAGTACAAACCCACAGAAATTAAGACATTATCCACACCAAAACCTGTGCACAATGTTCATAGCACCATTATTTGCAATAGCTGAAAAGTGGAAACAACCCGAGTGTCCACAATGAGATAAATGGATAAACAAAATGTGACCCATACAATGGTACATTATTCAGGAACATATACAGAATAACGGATGACTGCATTCTGCAACAATGCATGAACTTTGAAAACAGTATGCTAAGTAAAAAATGCCAGACACAAAAGGGCTATATTTTGCCATTTCTATGACATGTACAGAATAGGGGGAAAAAACTAAAAACAGCAAGTAGCTTAGTGGATGACAAGAGCTGTGAGGGGAAAGCAATGAGGACTGACTACTAAATGGGTGTGGAGTCTCTTTTCCAGGGGGGTGAAAATGAAAATTCAAGAATTAGGTAGTAATAATGGTTGCACAACCTTGCAAATATACTTAAAACCCTCTGAACTATACACTTTCAAATGGTAAGTTTTATGGTTCCTGAACTAAAACTCAATAAATAAAGCAATAAAGGAAAAGTAGCAATTTAGATGGATGCATACTAGGGCCACATTTAAAAAATTCATTATATATGTTTATTCCTTCCAAGAACTTCACCATTAACTCTAATACTCAAAGATAACCATTAACTACAAATGTGAAAATATGGAACATATATCTTACCTAGGTAATTTGCTCAGAAGAAAATACAATAAATAAATTCAAAGTTGAACACACCTGTTTATTTCTTTTGTTATGGCAAGTATATGTTTTATAGTGAAGTTGTAAAGCCTTGAATGTTATTAAACTGGCATTCCCTATTAATTTGGTCATAATTTAAAAAAAAAAAAAAAAACCACACCGTAGAATGGTTTCCTGATGATCCACAACGCAATCTAGACACCTGACTTCCTTGTTTGTTAGCTAACACATATAAAGTAATTGTTGTGTGAATGCTGCCCCAAACTACTTGGGGTTAAGAATTCTTATTTTGAGCAACATCCATCCTCCTTTTTCAATATTTCTGATACTACAGAACTACGCAACTTGAGAGTTACACCAATTTCTAAATAAATATTTCTAGATTTTTGAATCAGAAAGTGCTCTACCTTCTTTTTTGGGAGGGGGGTGGAAATCTTAGTTTTCCAAATATTTCCAATGAGTTTTGGAAATATTTACGGACACAAAATCAACTGTTTACAATTATGGAGTGAATGCTCTTTTCTTTGAATCTCTGACTTCCTGTGTCGCTTCCAAATCCCAAAAAGGAAAGAAAAAGGAAGAATTCATTTCTTTAGGCTATGCTCATGAAGTTTGGGGTCAACCTCTCATTTAGTTTTCCTCTCAAAGAACAGCTTAACTGGGCCATGTAACTGTGTTTCCTTTTCACTTTTTCTTTCTAAAGCAGCAAAGACGTCTTTCTTAACTAGACTGAGGCATGCCTTGTTCAAAGCTGACCACCACCACCTAGGAACCCCTCCTTGGGCCACGCCTGCCCTTTGGTGGCACAGTTAGGACAGCCTACTTTTGCAGCTGAATCCACACTCCTGAGGGGCACACACTGCTTGCAAAGACTGGAATTTTTACAAAGGAATGGGTGACCCGCAGGTAGCTCCGCACAGAGCTTTTACCCTGCAAGAGGGTCAACGTCCCTTCCCACCCCGTTTGGGCCAAGGAAAATCACGTTTAAAATGTCCCGTCTTAGAATGAAAAATGCTGTACTAACGTCAGGGGCAGAGCTGCCTCCGGGGAAGTCACTTCGCTGCGCTCAGCCGACCCCCGCAGCGCAGGTGTAAAGAGTGAGAAGTTCGTGGATTTTTCCTCCCCGGGCTCACAGTGGAGCTCCCCCGAAGCCAAGGCCGCGCCGCGGCATCGTGAACGGCGTGGGTCCCTCCGCGCGGGGACGCGGGGCTGCCCCGCTGCGCCCCCAGCACCGCCCGCCAGGTGCCCGAGCCCGGGCCCGGGTTTTCAAACAAAACGTCACAGGAGCCCCCGGGACGTAGGGCTGCGGACCACCTCCCCCACCTTCCCCGCCCACTCCTGCAGAGGTAGCGGGGACGCAGACCCGGGCTGCCACCCGAGGCGCGGGGCCGCGTCCGGCGCCCGCCCGCTCCGTCCTCCCGGCCCTTGCCCGCCCGCTCCATCCGCTGCCCATCCTCGGCTCGGAGCCCCCAAGACACAGCGCGCCCTTGAGGGGGCGGGGACCCCTGGGGTTGGAAGAAGCATTGAGATCTCTCCTAGCTCCCAGTCCTTCCCATCTACCTACCTCTGCTACAGGATCTGGCGACAGCACTCCAACTCCTACCGGCGACTGGTCCCAAGCTCTGGCTCTCGGGTCTTTCAGCCTGCTCTGGTCCCTCCTCTTGGAGCCCCGAATGGGTAGGCACCGCCTCTTCTATAGATTGGCAGCTAGTATAGCCAATCGAATGTCTCAGCCGACCATCTTGCGTCACTGGAGGGTGTAGCTATAGTTTTGGCTCCTCCCACTCGACCCCAAGTGGGATTTCTGTTCCAAGAGTACCCTCAAGCCTTCTTCCTACACTTGGATCTCAGACCCGTGTTTTAGCGGTCTGTCACCTTCCCTTTCATTCCTTTTGCCTCGAATGGACTGCTATACCAGCCTCTTGCTTAGTCTTCCAACCTAAATTTTCTTCTCTTGCCAATCAACCCTTCATCCTCCTGCCAGCTTAATAGTTCTTAAGAACAGTTTTGATATGCACTTTGCCAAGAACCTTTACTGATTTCCTGTTGCTTAAATGATCAAGAACAGATCCTCTTGCCTGCTATGAAGTGTTCCATCCTAACTTCAAATTTAGTTTTCATAGATGCTTTTCACACCTCTCAGACTAGAGCTGTGTGCCTTCCCTCCCCTGCAAGGAAGTCCGTTGTGCTATTTTCGATTCCCTTACCTTTAAAAGTACAATCTAGTCGTAAAACACGGCTCAAAAACAATATCTGTTGCTAGCCTTGAGCTGAAGAGCGGAGGGACAGCACCCAGGCCCAGAGTTCAAGCCCCATGACCTGCAAAAAAACCCACAAAAACAAAAAAACAAAAACTCTGTGACTATACCTGTCCCCCACTTCGCCGAAATTTCTTCTGCTTACTCCCTGAATATCTAGATTTTTGTCCATCTTGGCACTTACTCCTTCTCTACCTTATGTGGTTCCCCCCCCCCCATTATCTTTCCATTACAAAGAGCAAGGATTCGAGTTCTTTCTTTTCCTATCCTCCTTAGCACCCAGTTCAGAGCATTTTGCATAAGTAGATAAATGATTATATAAATGTAGTTGAATTTCACATCCCAAGCTGGACTCTACAGAGATCAGGGAGGGAGAGGGTAATTTTCGATATTATAGGTAATCCTTTCCCAGGTCATAAAACTAGGTCACACAAATTACTGTTAGATTCATGGTTGGCCAATAGAAGGTATCAGGTTTTTTCCACTTCAAATTTTTTTTGTTTTAGCTTATCTCATAAAGAAAAAAAAAACACCTAGAAATTTACAAAGTCTCTCAGAGGGAAGGCAATAAATGAAAACAAGGAAAAGGCCAGCAAGCGAGTATCAGGCTTCCATATTTCTTCCAGATGAGCACTAATTTTGGACTGGATCCCAGACTACCCCCACACATCAAATTCCTTTTGCCTTCTGTGGAAGCTGATGATGCATATCATATGAAAAATTGTCTCCAAACAGCCTTGGCAAACAAGCAGTCTGATCTGTGCTTATTTTACAGAGCAGGCAGGAGTTAAGTAAACAGAGTTTAAGTAACTTGCATAATTTAACACAGCAAGTCAGTAGAGACCAAGGGGGAGAAAGAAAGAAAGAATGCCAAAATAGAATCACTTCCGTTTGTGAGTCAGAAATACTAAACAGACTAGGAGAACTGAGTGAATAAAATCAGTCATGAAAAGCAGCTTTCTAAACACAGCCGCTGCCACCCTTGTAAAACTCAGCCAACATTTACTTACTGTCACCTTTTTCTAGAAACATGACAAACTGATTTGTTTGGCTGTGAAGCAGAAAAGTGGACCAGCATCCTGTTTCTGGCTAGGCAAAAAACAAATAAGCCCGTAGTATAATGGAATATTATTAGGCAATAAAAAGAAATTACATCCTGATATATGATACACATTGGATAAGCTTTGAAAACATTGTGCTAAATAAAAGGAGCCATTCACAAAAGAGTACGTATTCTATGATTCCATTTATATGAAATGATCAGAAAAGGCAAAATCAGAGAGACAGAAAGTAGATTAGTAGTTGTCCTGGATAGCCTTGGCCAGTCATGGCCAAGCGAAATGAAGTTGTTTTTTAAGGAATGAAAGCATTCTAAAACCTATAGTACTGGGTGCACAACTCTGTGAATATACTAAAACCTATAAATATGTACAGTTTAAATGGGTAAAAGGTATGCTATAGGAATTATATCTCAAATATTTTCTGTACATGAAAATAAAGACCTGTTGACTTTTATGCTTCTACATTGAGTAGCAGAAGACGGAAAATAACCTTTGTTTTGTGCTCATTTGCCTCAGTTGTAATATCCTGTATATTTGTGATTATTTAATTGACTACTTCCCGTACTATACTGGAAGTACCATGAAATCAAAAACACTGCTTACCATCTAGCACAGTGCCTCACACACCATAGAAACATTAAATATTTGTCAAATGAACAAAGGTGGCAAAGATGCATTTTATTAAATACTTTTGATATTCTAGAGGTTATAGTAAGTTATGAAGAATTAAGAATGAGAAAACTAGGTATTTCTTTTAAATATCTTCAGAGAGTTGCTATCTAGGAAGAAAAGTGCACAAGAAGTAAATATATGATTTAATATATAATTATAATTTGCATTAGATGCCTTGAAAGAAAACTACAAGTTATCACATGACTCAGTAAAAGCAAGTTGATGTGATAGGCTCTCCAAGTGGTAGGAACCACAGGTTCCTGGCCCTGTGTAAATAGAAGCCTGAGACAGCAATAGGGCTTATGAAAGCTATAGAGGCAGGGCACAATGAGCAAGGGGATGAACACTACATGAGGCAGCTAGAAAGAAAAAAGTAAGGAAAGGGTTTCTCACATTGTTATGGGAAGCTTGTTAAAAAGCAGATTCAAGGTCAATCTGAGCAGTGGCTAACGTTTTACTTTTTTTTTTTTTTCTTCTAGTTCTGGGGCTTGAACTCAGGTCTGAGCACTCTGTCCCTGAGCTTCTTTTGCTCAAGGCTAGCACTCTACCACTTGAGCCACAGCACGACTTCCGTGTATGTATATGAGGAATCGAACCCAAGGCTTCATGCATGCTAGGGAAGCACTCTACCACTAAGCACATTCCCAGCCCAGGTTCTGCATTTCTAACAAGCCCTAGGGATGCATTTAAAAGAATTTAAGTTGTTGTACAAAGTCGTTCAACATGTCAGTTTATGAGTACAATGCATCTTGATTAATGCCACCTCTTTCATCATTCTCCCTCTAAGGATATATTTTGAGCAGCAAGGTTGCAATGACATTATTCCAAGAGTGGGAATGTTTGAAGTATTGAACATCACATGTGGCAAGAGTATAGAGAAGGATTAGAAAAGAGAAGAGTGAATTCAAAGAGCACCAACTCCCTAACTGGTCATGCTGGTGGCTGCTTCATTGCAGAGATGGTGTATAAAAGCAACACGTGACCAAAGCTGGGTTTAAGGGAGCATCATCTAGGATGATGAGAAAAGGAGAAAATCAGGAGGTGAAGGAACTCTGAGATGAAGAGAGGACTGTGATGCTCATGGTGAAAATAAGATGGAGGCTGTCTCTTCAGTAAATGGTGCTGGCAAAATTGGTTAATCACTTGTAGAAAACTAAAGCTAGATCCTTATATATCACCCTGCACCAGAATCAATTCCAAATGGATCAAAGACCTCGGAGTCAAAGCAGATACTCTGAAAACATTACAGGACAGAATAAGAGAAACCCTAGGTCTCCTTGGCACAGGCCAAAATTTTCTTAATAGACCCAGAAACACAACAAATCAAAGAAAGTTGGACAAATGGGATTGCATGAAATTGCAGAGCTTTTGCATGGCAAAGGACATAGCTAGCAAGATCAACAGAAAGCCTACAGCTTGGGAGAAGATCTTCACTAGCCATATAATGGACAAGGGTCTCATATCTAAAATATACCTGGAACTCAAAAAATTAAATACCCCAGCAACAAATCCTCAAAGAAACAATTGCCCAATAAATAAGTGGGAAACTTCTCTGAGAAGAAACTTCTCTGAAGAGGAAAGAAGAATGGCCAATAGACACATGAAGAAATGCTCAACCTCCCTAGCCATAAAAGAAATGCACATCAAAACAACATTGAGATACCAACTCACCCCAGTTAGAATGGCTAAAATCAAGAACTCTAATAACAACAAATGCTGGAGGGGATGTGGACAGAAGGGAACCTTACTGCATTGTTGGTGGGAGTGTAAACTTGTTCAACCACTTTGGAAAGTAGTATGGAGGTTCCTCAAAAGACTACACATAGAGGGGCTGGGAAGTTGGCTCGGTGGTAGAGCGCTTGCCTTGCATGCCTGAGGCCCTGGGTTCGATTCCTCAGGACCACATAAGCAAAAAGAAAAAAAAGCCGGAAGTGGCGCTGTTGCTCAGTGGTAGAGCGCTAGCCTTGCGCTGAAGAGCTGAGGGACAGAGTTCAGGCCCCACAACCGGACCCCCCCCCCCAAAAAAAGACTACACATAGAGCTTCCCTAAGACCCAGCAATCCCACTTTTGGGCATTTACCCAAATGATCACAAACAAGACCACACTAAAGCTACCAGCACAACTGTTTATTGCAGCATTATTTACCATAGCTAAGATATGGAACCAACCCAGATGCCCCTCAGTAGATGAATGGATCAAGAAAATGTGGTATATATACACAATGGAATTCTATGCCTCCATCAGAAAGAATGACATTTGTAGAGCACACGGGCAGCAAAGATGGCGCTAAGAGGGAGTTGAGTGGGCAGAGCCCAATTTGCTTTTGTTCAGTATGTTACCAGCGTAACCAGCCGGTGGAAGCTTAGGTGCATGATAGGGTGTGACCTTTACAGTGATTGGTTCCTTTTCCTCCCCTGCCATGCCACCAGCTCTTTTTTGGTTTAAAAAGGGCTTTCTCTGTGTTAATAAACGAGTTTTCCTGCTTGACTTGATTCCCAGCTGCGTCGCTGCCTCTCCCGGGCAGAGGGAGGCTGGGGAACGGGTCAGCTGCCGCACTTAGCTTTCCTCCGACCCCTTCGGTCTTTCGTGGGACAGACGAAGAGCAGACAGACATTGCCCCATTTGTTAGGA